GTCTCCGGTATTTAGTTTGTTTTCTTGCTTGTGTTGGCAGTCGTGGCCAAAGGAGGATTCAGACAATTTTCTGTAATTTCTGGTTGGTTTCTACAGTCTGATATTGTAGCACGCTAACTTTGTTTGGGCTCCTGAACGCCACGGGGGAGCAGCGTCCGCCTAACAACCAATCAGGTTGGGGGAGGTGGAGAATGACTTTGTTTACAGTCAGAAAGAGCGGAGCGCTCTGAAATTTAAAATGTTGACTACACAGACATAACAAAACACAGCGATATCGTTATATTACCAAATGTCATCAATAACTAATAACTATTGACTGATATCAAAATCTTTTTTGTATGAAACACCACAAAAAAAGATGCTTCTTTAACGGATTCCTGCCTACCCCACCTACAAGATGATAAAATTATATGAATACACGTGGTGTTATCATCTTTAACATTCTGCTGTGCAACAGTGCATGAACTATGAAAAAAGGGCCAAAAGTCAGCAAGAAAAACTGAAAAGAGTCTATATGACGACCTTCAATTCTCCTGATAAAGAGTCTGATATGGATTGATGTCAGCTGAGCCGCCGCTCGCAGCAGTAAGCTGATGTCGTGCATTGTTGTGCGTATGTCATGTGCTCATATCAAATAGGAGCCCCCACAGCTTGAGACCAGATGGGTTTCAGCCTTTGTAGCTGCTCAATGTAAAGCTTCATACAATTCCAAGCCCCCGAAGTGAACAGCAGAATCCTTTCCCATACTTTTGTCTGCATTCATGGCAGATTAATGAGAGGTTAATGCGAGGATAACAACAAAAGGTCTGCAATAATGAGGGACTCACTGTCACTCATGGAGTTCTCGGCATTATGCATGTCACAGCGAAACTGATATGGGTAAAATATCACACAATGACACAGCCATGTTATGCAAATTGTTATGTAATACTGTGATAAATCATTTCTTGTCTTGTGCTTTTTCAGCCGGTTCATGATCCTGCTGTTACTCCCACCCTGTTGCTGCAGTGATAATAATAAAAAAAAGACCCCCTTTGGTTTGGAGGAGGACACAGAAAAGAGGGACACACTTCGTATTGGTACCAGAAAACAAGCATTTTGTGAAGAATCAAGAGGAGGCAGCAGAGATGTTATCAAGGGAATTGACCAGAGAAGTCAAGTATCTCTTCTGCAAGACCGGAGAAGAGGCGTCACGGGGAGTTCAAAGAGACTCTTTTTCTCCAACAAGTGAAATAGTATATCAAGAGTGAATTCTTTTATTTCTCCGACAGAGGATGATGGTCTGAAACCCTCCCAGGTGGATTGATCCACTGAAGGGGCACATCCAGAGGGTTTTGTCTTGAATGACCCACCTTAGGCACTGACTTGTGAAGGACGGCATGGAGCAGAAATTCACATGCCTGAAAATCACTTCGTCGTCCATTCTGTCTGCAGTAATTATACCCTCTGTGACTAACATTACTAATGAATTGGGCAGCTGTTACAATTCTGCATGCATGCACGCTTTTTCATTGAAAAATAACAAAACAGACCGGCTGCATATTAGTCATGCTTCTTTCTCTCAGAAGTCTGAGAAAAGAGGACATGTGCGGGTAAAAGAGGACGTATGGTCACCCTACTTTGGGCTAGTTTCAGTTTGATTGAGCCATTGATGCAAAAGAGGAAATCATTCCTCAACTGCATTATTTAGGTATGTCTGTCTGACTATATGAAGACCAATTCAGTGTGATTTCAGTCGGGTTACTGTGTTTACTTGATTTTTAAAAGTCCAGTATTAGATGGAATTGGGCAATAATTAGATTTTTTGGTCAACATGTAAACCTTCAGACTATAATCCACTATATGACATGGAAATTGCTTATCACTCATTTAAATACAGTCCAATAGGTTAGATGGAGCTGAAGTCCCACCTCTGACTTCAAATCAAAGTTCACAGGGTGAGAACTTGGGTTTATTTCATCTGCTGTATAGCTGCTGTGGCTTGAGTGTCCAGACTAAAACCTCCACTTTTCTCCACTGTGATGTCGAAGGATATTTTGATTTCATAATTTCACTTCAATGTCATACTGTTAAACAGGACTGCACAGAATTTACATGTCCAAGTGAGCCAGTCATGAGTCATAATGCATAATGTCCTGGCCTTGTAACACCTTAAGTGAAAGCAGCCATTAAGAGGAAATATCGTTTTCACAGCGTTCAACAGGAGCTCCATGAAGCTCGTTCTTTAACGTGATACAAAAAAATCTGCAAAGTTAAAAAATTGGAAAAGGAATTAGACTATTTCTTCACTTTCAATCCACTAGTCCTTCACAAATTATGCGTATTTTCAAAAACCCCTCATAGAAATACTGTGTGGAGCCAGTGAGAATCAACAATACTAGAAAAGCACTCGGAGAGCGCAGACCTCCGCCAAGCAGCTCATGTCCCCCTTATATTGTGATTCACAGCAAAACTTTTACTGTTACGTGTCTTTTATTAACTTTTATTTGTGTTTAAACTGGTATGTTCACTGTTCATAATGTTCCTAAATCAAGAAATGCCCTGACCGGGATTCAAACCCAGAACCTTCTTGCTGTGAGGAGACAGTACTAACCACTACACCACTGTGCCGCCTATCTACACCTCTGTGCCGCCCATTGGTTATATTTCAGCATTGAAAATTCCCTCATTTTGTGTGCTCTGGATCACAGTATCCGGAATTTTGTCCGGATCACCACCAAAATTTAATGGGCTCGTCCTGGGGCTGAGACGCACCTCTGGTGAAAATTTCAGGTCAATCCGTCTGTAACTTTCTCCGTAAACTTGCTAACAGACAAACAAACTCACAAACAAACCAACGCTACTGAAAACATAACCTCCTTGGCGGAGGTAATAAAACGGTTGTGGGTTTAACCATGACTCCTGCAGCGACAGACCACTCTAGTATGTGTTTCTACCTGCGTTTGTTGTGAATAAAAAGTGCATTTTTGTGTGCATGTGTGTATTTTTATCCCCAACCATATATATTTACAGCGCGGGTTTGATTAACATGTTTGGCAATCTGAGCATCAGTACATCTTGTGAGTATTCCCTGCAGAAACATACAAACAGGCTGCATGTACACCCATGCACATACATCAATTTAATGCTTGGACAGCAGAACATGCTCATACATCGCATACACACCTCTGAATACACTTAAGTATATTTCCATGTGTGCACACACACCAAATCACAGGTTCCCTCAGCTGGAGTCTGCTGCTGCTGAGCGTGCCTCGCAGTGTTTGCGTTAGTTCATTGAGTTCTGAATCAACTGTTAGAAGAGTCTGCGGTGCAAGGAGGGGGGACAATTAGCCTAATGAAGCGCAGGAGCAAATCACACTCAGTGCTGTGCTAACAGTTGCTCAGTGAATATTCATGTGCTGTTGGCTTTGCAGATGCATTAGAAGGTGGCGCTGCGTTGCTGAATACCAATCGTTACATTTCCACCTGTCGCTCGTCTGCTCCCTCAGTGGAGATAACACCCTAATCAGACTCAGTGCTGCAAGGCTTTTTGGAACGCAGCCCATACACAGACCACATCTATTATCCTATCAGGCTCCACCTGCTGCTGTCTGCCAGCTAAACACACAAACACATTCCCACCTTTTACAAAACAATTACCACAAATCAAAGTATTAGTATGTAGGAGTTTTGTGCATGTAACATTTGTAAAGGTGTTTGCCAAAACCCATCTATGATACCATGATATTTCTTTTTAGTATTTTTTTCACACAGGGAAAGGGGATAAACAGGTATATATATATGAACTCAGAAACAATCTCTTATCTCTTTATAAAAGAGTAAAAAAGAAGAAAAAAAAAAGAACTGCAGCGAGATATCTGCGCCCCTAGCCCTTTGTTTTAAAGGAACCCTTAACCCCTGCACCAATCACCATCACGAGCGAAAGAAAAAGAAAACATGTAAACAAACTTATATGTAAAAAACAAAATAAAACTTTACAATTATGATTATAGAAAGTTTGCATTTTTTTGTTCTTGTTTAGTGAGAGGTCTTGACTTGATCTAAAATGTGATTCCAGAGGTCCATTGTCTGACAACTATGATATTTCTTTAAAAATAAAAATGGTATTAAAGTTACAATTCTCTCTTTTTTAGGTACATTTAGCATTTAGTCAGTTTTTCTCACCCGACAAACTGAGGTGCTGTCCTTTTCTGTGAACTGTGTTCTTTTACCTTAAGAGACTTCCTCAACAAGCTGTTTCTTTTATAACTGAGTGCTGTTGTCACACGCATGTTAACCAAAACGCTACTATTCACTGTGCTGTCTGTGCCCTAGAGTTTAACTTTGACCCTGTAATAAAGCTTTTTTTTTTTTACAAATGCCAAAATATCAGCCTCTCAAAAAAAATTTGCATGTTATCAACAGTAATCACTCCCACTGCCCAGCTGTTGTCTTTTCGTTTCCATTTTTGGTTTAAAAAAAAACAAAAAAACGTAATTGCCTTTTTGGCCGCCGAGAACCAATTAAAAAAAAAACATCTGGCTGAAAAGAGGGGTTTAGAGGAGCTGAGTGTGTAGGCTGAAACACACACACAGACACAAGCAAACAACAAGAACGATAGTATTCTTTATCTAGGGTTCCTTAGCAAGTATGGAAATAAATTTGATCAATTTCCAGGTCTTAAAAAATATGGGAAATGAAAAATAAAGTATGGAAAAATATTTTTGTTTCCAGACTCTAAATACTGTTTTCTAAAAATAGAAAAGTATTTCCAAAAATAATTCCAAAAAGTATGAAAATTCCAACTGTGTAGGAACCATGTTTACCCATATAGCACTTGGCAAGATGCAAAAAAGAGACTACATGTCTTCTTTCAGGGCATGGCAGCATTACAAACTCCTGCTTCAAAGTTTTTGGCAAATCTAAAAATAAAAAAATTTGGAGCTTTTTAAATGGGCCTGAGTTAAAATCTTAGTAACACTTCTATGCAGCCTGTTTCTATAATGTACCATAACACTTTAGGAATCCAGCTGATGGTGCACTTCTACACGGCCATCATCGAGTCCATCCTCAGCTCCTCCATCACGGTGCGGTACGCCGGGGCCACTGCTAGGGATAGACACAGACTGCAGCGCATTGTGGGCTCTGCTGAGAAGGTGATCGGCTGTAGCCTTCAATCTCTCCATGACCTGTACGTCTCCAGGACTCGGGGCCGAGCAGGTCGGATTGCAGCTGTCCCCTCTTACCCTGCACACGGACTATTTGAGACACTCCCCTCGGGCAGGAGGCTAGGCTACCTCCCGCCGTAAGAACAGTTTCTGCCCCTCTGCCGTTGAACTCATGAACTCTTTATAACTCAGTCACTTTAACTCTGTCACTTTATCACTGGTCACTTTAGTTTGATGTACCTTGGTTTTTTAATTGCACTCCTCTCACTGCACTGTTGTTCTGTATTGTGTAGTTGTACATAGCCTTTTATACTTACTGTACATAGCCTTTTATATTTTTATACTTTATATATGTTCCCTTCTGATTCTGAATATTATTAAATGCACTATGGTGACGTTCACACTGCAGGTTATGAGGCACAATTCGGATTTTTTGTTAAATCCGATCTTTTTGTGCGGTCGTTCACAAAGCACAAATTGCTTTCCGCGCCTGTTTGTGTTGTCGAACAATGGTGACGTTTGTCACATATTGATGACGTAAAGGTCGAATGAACGCGGCCTGAGCGTCCACACTGCAGTCACATCGGATACATATCCGATTTACTGTATATCCACATACAAAAGAGGCCTGGGTCAGAGTTGAAAAAATCAGAATTGCACTGTTCACACTTACATGAAAAAATCAGATATGCGTCACATACGGTTAAAAAATCAGAATTGACCTGCAGTGTGAACAGAGCCTTAGATACGCTTATAAGCACTCGTGGTTATTTATAACATTCTATACAGTTATAACTCATTATAATGCCAGTATTTACAGTGCTCAGCATGAATGAGTACACCCCTTCAGAATTGTCATAAAACCTTTAATTCCTTTCAAAATCAACATTTTCTATGTCAGGCCATACAACAAAATACTCCCTCAAATGTAGGCCACTGATTGCAAACAAGTGCAAGTATTTTTCAGGATGCAAAAATGAGTACACCCTAATCAAAGTTCTGGAAGCAAAGCTAAATTTAAGTCACCATTTCACCCTTATTTTCATCTTATGGTAAATAAAATGTTATGTTAAACTTTGGAAATTGTACTTTTGCTCATCTAGATATTAAGTAATACATTACTTTTAATAGAGGGTGTACTGATTTATGCTGGGCGCTCTATAAGGAATCAAAAACATACTCATAATTTGTTATCGCGTGCATTTAATTTACACAATAATGAGCATTCATAACAATAATCTATGATATAATGAATTATAATTGTTCAAAGGAGTGTTTTTGTAAAACATTATGATCAACTCACATATAAACACTATCATAATGCATCTTAATATAAACACAAGTCAGTAAATCTCTGTTATAAGCAGGAGTAATCCATTATAAGGTAGTTATAAGTCACTTTAAGTAGTCTTGCTTTGCTTTAAGTCAAGTAAGCAAGAATAGGATCAAATCAGTGTGGGAATAACAAACTAGTTTAAATGAAGTTTTCCTAATACATTTTGTATGATTGTTTTTTTATTGTCAGTACTCTTATATTTCATCTCCACAGCTTGTCTCACAGGAGACAGTTTCAGGGCTTACTGCTTCTCACCAGTCAGCCGGGCAGGACAGACTGTGGCTCAGTCCGGCCAGATGGAGGTGAGATTATCCTCTATTAGATAACAGGGTGGTATCATGACCCTAATTGCTCAAAGTCAACTTAAACAGGTCAACTGAGGAGACGTATATGTCGCCGTAAAAGCTTTTTCAGGGTATTTGAGTCAGTCAGTAGGTGGCATCTCCCATGTTATGTAAGGTAACCGCAGAACGAGCCAAACAAACGTGTAAACAGAAAACTCGTAAAAGTGTGCGAGTAGTGGAGCGCGGGTCAGACTGAGGCTCCTCATAAATGCTGATGAAGTCATGAACGAGCTATAAATTTCTCAATAATGACTGTAAGGAAGTTTCAAAGAAGAAGAAGAAGCAGAGATACAGTCATTACTCCAGGGGAAATATCAGGCTGCAGCCAATAAATGCTGTGAAAATAACTCACAGTTGGCCAAGAAGAGGAGAGACTATATGTATCTCAACACTGACATCTAGAGGCGTTTAGCTGCAAATGTCTCATGAAAAACAAGAGGAGACCTGTTTATTTGGGATAATGTTAATTTTGTGGTTTTAACAGCCATCTGGCATCCAGATTTTTACACTTAGAGGAGGGTAGGCTTTCCAAACGGGAACAGGAGTGAACATCCAAACAACTGATATATAGGTGTGAGCTTAAATTTGAAGTTGTCACAATTCTCTCCACTGTCCCTGAATCTGAGCGTGTGCAGTGGCCAAAAACTAAAGCGTCCTTATTTGTTCTAAAAGGGAAGATACTACGCACTGTAATTATATTTAATCAAACACAAAGTAAAACAAACAACTTCTAAGAATAAAACCTTTGGTCAAGTGGTAACATGGAGGGTATGACTTCCAGGCTCTAAGTTACCATCTACTGAGCTATTTATGTAAAAGTGATTAAGACATATCTGAAAATCTAATCCACAGGTATTTTTGAAATGTGTCCGTGTAAATTAGCATCTGTATGTTGCTTGACTTTGATTTTCCGACACCGCAGAGCTGCGAACAGAACATCCAGTTAATGAGGCTGATTGAATTTTGACTTTAATCTTTGGATTAATCGGTAAAACTGTTGGATTATGGAGTCAGTCGTGAGATTTTGTGGAACAGCAGCGGCGGTGAGATCCAAAAAAAAAAATCTAAATCCTAAAGTAAACTGGCTGAAACCAGATACAGAGCAAACACCTGTGGTGGGTAAATGTCAACATCCTGAACATCCATCCTGTCTGTTGTACCAACAATGTCTTCAACTGTTTCTGAAATCGCCTCAGACCGACTGCAGAACATTTTGAGACACATAAGACAGTTTATGCACGGAGCAGAGTGGAAGAAGCAGCTGTAACATGTACAGGCAGTTTGGAAACAGTAAAAATGCTCAACTTCATACATAAGGAAATAAATCTTAAAAACAGGTCGATTTGCATGAAAGCGTATTGCATTTACCAAAATAGAAATATATATTTTTTTCTGTTCTGTTATCCGGGCGATTTTTTTTCTGCTTTTTAAAATATATTATTTTTCTTTTCTGTTTTCAGACTAATTGTTTTTCTTATTCTCTGGGATCATGATTATTTAAAAACAGATGCTTTCATCCCCCTCTGCTCGATTTATTGGAAGCAAACATGGCCCACTTGTTTAGTTTAATCAAGTTTTACTTTCTTTTGGGTTTGAGACACTGGGAGATCCTCCTTTCTTTAAGTCAGATAGATGAAATCATCAGAAGTTTGTTTACTTTGCGCAGGAACCTCAGGATTTGCATACCCTATGTGTAACTAATAACATGCTTGAGTCTCATTGACCTTGTAGTTGAAGTTATCTAGGAACCAGAGAATCTACTGTTTTGGACAAGCCACGGTGGTTAACAGTATGTAATTGTGTGAGATTCTCGCGGGATTTTGAAGTATCTTGCTTGGATAGGGAAAAAAAATAGACAGAAAAACAGAAAGAAGAAAAAAAGGAACATAAAACAATAAAAGTTTGTCAAAAAAAACAAAAGAGGGGAAAAAATTTTAGTACCAAAAACAGAAGAAAAAAATAGTCAGAAAAACAGAAAGAAGAAGAAAAAAAGTAGAAAAAACAGAAGAAAAAACTAGTCAGAAAATCAAGAGGGGAAAATTGTAGAAAAAAAAAACAATAAAAAAAACTGTCAAAAAAAACAAGAGGGGAAAAAATATTGGTACAAACAACAGAAGAAAAAAATAGTCAGAAAAACAGAAAGACAAAAAAACAAACAGTACGAAAAACAGCATAAAAATTTAGCTGAAAAAAGAAAGAGGGGAAACAAATATTAGTACAAAAAAAACCAGAAGAAAAAAAACGTTAAAAAAAAGAGAGAACAAAAAACAACAGTTTCCTTTATTTTTGTAAGTGAATGCAAAATGCTTACGTAGATTTGATCTCCCTTTTATACCAAACATTTGGGATGTATTTAAGATGTATATGGACACATACTTGGCTATAAAGGAGCAGCAACTGTGCGAGCTGACTGCTCCTGTCAGGTCTGCTGGAAATGCAGAATAATGTCCTTGATGTTGAGTTTGTTGGAACAGAAAAAGCGTTTTTGAATTATTCATTCTTCTAAGTGGGTTAACGTGCATTTAAAGAGCTTTTACTGTGAATGCATTTTATATATGTTAGTGCAAAGAAAACCCTTAAGGGGAGACGAGAGGAATAGGATAGGATCTAGGAATAAGACTCTTATTGTGAGCTTTCTCCTTAGATTATGTACAAAAATTAGAAATCCAATCATTGACTGTCTCCTCTACACAGCAGAACCTTTAGGAGGAGTGGTTTAGATTTTAGTGTAGCTCCTGTTTGGTGTGTCCGGTGAATAATATAAGGTCTTTGTACATAATGTTTCATCCTTTTATGCTTTTATTGAGAGATAAGCACAATTCAATAAGTGGGAATCTAGGAAGAAAGAGTGGGAACGACCTGCAGTAGGGGGCTGCCCGAGCCTCCATACACTAGGTGTGCGACTAAGAGAATTTTGAGAGTATCTGTCAATCAATCTTCTATTTATTAAGCGTTAGCCCGAGACAACTGACAATAAAAAGCTTGTCAAACTAAACTCTATTTACAAATACCCACTATTATGATAGGGCAAGACTGAGCTCCATCTTGTAAGATCAGACCCACTCCCATCCCATCTTCAACCATGAGTTTAAAACGTTGCAGAATCTAGCAAGACGGAGTCGCAAAGAAAAACTTCTTTTTAACAGGCAGAAACCTTGAGCAGAACCAGATTTATGTAGACAGTCATCTGCCGCTAGTGCACTGGGTTTAGAGAGGGGATAGAAGGGCATGCAGAAAAAGAAAGATGGACAGAGGTGAGACTGATGCACATAGATGAAGCAGCTGGAAAGCAGACGGGTCCATGGCAGCAGATCAACTGCAGCAAAAATCCAGAGGAACTTCAGGCATGACAGAGCACAAGCACACATAGAGAAAGAATGTATCAGAGACTCTTATGTGACATGATGACTCAAAGTTAATGACACAGACAGAAAGAGGATGGAGAAGGAGGGAAGGGGAAACCTCTCGCAGCAGAACTAAGAGTTGGCCCGAGAGTGAACCAGCTCCTAAGCTCTTAAAAAGGTAGAGAAGGTGTCCAACCTGGGAAGTGAAAGCTCTACCACCCAGAACACTTTTAGGGACTTAAGCTATGATGATCACGATGATCAAGTCTGCATATTGGACTAAGTTCTGAGTGCCTTCAGTTAGGGTGACCATACTCTGAATCACCAAAAAGGGAACACAACTACCCGGGGCGGAGTCATGGAGTCGGGAGAGTTTTTCTAGGACAGGTTGGGTGTTTTTTGCGCGCTTCTAACTCAAAGTCCACGCAACACAAATTCAAAACTTCCATACAAAACCCCGGACATTTAAAGGATTTATGAAACTCCCCCGGACAAGGCCAGACAGCCCCGTAAAAAGAAGACATGTCCGGGTAAAAGAGGACATATGGTCACCCTACTTTAGTGATGGGCACGGCAGTTCTTTTTAGATGTACTGAATCACTAGAATCAGTTCACTAAAAAGATTCATCCAAAAGATTCGTTCGTCAAATCACCGAATCATTTAGCGGGAGAAGCATGCGACTCTGACCTCCTGAACTGATACACAGCTGAACGGTTCAGGATTCAGTTCAATTCATAGCTTCTGGGACCGGGAGACAAGAGTGTTTAGCTTGTGTCCTGCAATGATAGGATGCTGCGGGTTTAATGCACTACTTGTTACATGCTGTGTCCCATTGTATGAAAGTTGTTGTGGTGGCAATAAAGCAGTGAAAAAAAAAGGTAGCTTTGTCCGACAAAAATGATTCCAGAGAGTGTAGTTCAATGCGTGGTTCATTCACCAAGTGATTTATGCGTTGGTGCATGCGGTCCCTTGTTCGCCGGCTGCTGGCCTGGCAATGCTGTTTCTCACTTCAGCTCAACTGAAGTAAGAAAAGAACAAATCACTCGAGGAAGTGATTCAGTTCAGTACGTTCACTTAAAAGATTCGGTTCTTCTGAACGAATCGTTTGCGAACGAAACATTACCCTACTTAAGGTGATAAGATAAGCCATGGAAAGGTGATGTTTAGTTGCAGCACGGTGGCTCCAGACAGAAATGTCTGCACTCAGATTTTATACAATCGAAGCCAAAAGTCTTTTTGACGTTCAAAACAATAAAAATGACAATAGCTCGGATCAGAGGGTGCCTATTATTTGCTTTGATCTGTGGACTGCTGTGAGAAAAGTCCCACCAGATAGCTGATAACTGTCATTATGTGAATGCCGCCCACTTCCCTTCGCTTTCCACGGGGTGTCCTGTTCCACGGTGACCTGCAAAATAAAACCCCCTGTCTCCCTTTGATCGGAATTATACATCTCGACCGCACAATGTACGATGACAAAGTAGATTAACCTTCAAAGACAACTTTAATGTGTGAGCAGACATTAACAACAGATGACACATCAAAGCTTACAAAACGAGTCAACTCGAAGAAAAAAAAAAAAAAGGGGGGATTTGAGAAATGCAAATGATACAAACTACGGCAACAACTGAAGAGATGTCTGTGCCTAGAAATATACAGTCGAATTCCAAATAGGTTTTGGAAATCAGAAGAATACTTTTGTGCAAACTGTATTTACGTCCTATTAAAAAGGTGTTAAATTAATTTCAAGGGGATATAATAAAAGCCGCTCTGTTTACGTCAAAATCAAGGGAATCTATGCGATCTAAAGCTCCTCAGTCCTGCAGGAAAAAGAAGATATCGAGGAGAGGCCCCCCAGCTCAGTTTTCTCAGCCCTTTCTGGTTGGAGATGTAGATTGAGCGAAAAAGCCTTGTGCAGAAGAAAAGAGGGCGTTTCCCTTCGTATTCGCAGCTGTACACAATCTGTAGCCAGAAAAGGCTACCAAAACAACAAGCACTGGCTCCAAGTTGGTTCTGCGGGGTTTGCTGAATTGATTGTTGGTCCTTTTTTTTTTTTGGAAATGAAGAATCAGAATGTCTCCTCGGGTTCCCATGACGTGGATTAATTTCTCACTTTCCTTCCCCCTTCGTGTCCTTTGATCCATAAAACTGCGCTTGGTCATTCAAGACTAAAAAAATGGTCCACAGGAGAGTTAGGTTTCATTTGACAGTCCGCTCCTTTTTGGATTTTGGGATAGGAGACGTAGGAGTGACCAAACACGCCAGTCTGCAGGTGGTTAAGTCAGAATGTGATGAGGTGGAGGCTTATGAAAAGAAAAAAACCTTGGTGCCACTTTAGAGAGGAACTCCCGATTTTACCGTAACGACAGTGTAATGGGCCAATTTTCGTGACTCTAATTAGACTGACATTACAGAGAGAGATAGGGGAGCGGTTACTTTGAACTGTTACTGAATGGTTTTATTAGAAGACGGAGATGAGAGCAAAGACCCCGTATAGAAGAGCACAGGGGTAGGCAACCAATAGCTGCTGCCCGTCCATGGCCAATGCTGAAATGAAGATCTTTGACGCTGAGAAACTGCACCAGCCAATGATCGCTGCGCTTATTATAATTCCCATCATGCCCCTAAAGAGGACAAGAAGGAAAGAGGAAGAAGTTAAAAATACAACTAAAAGATCAAACATGCTTGTCAATATTCGAGCTACAAACTCCAAAAAATGTAGTTGTGGAGTGTTGCTGTGCACTCACTGTAAGGAGAAGAGGACTCCAAAGCTGGAGAGGAGGATCATGGGTAGGAGGCAGTATCCCAACACACTGGCCACGCAGCCAAAGGAGACGCCGGTCATACTCATTAAGTTGAGTAGGCAGTACATGCCGAGGCAGCCGATCGCGCTGATACCGTATACATACCCGAACTGGATCTTACCTGACTGTGAGCAGGAGAGAAAAACAACACAATCACACACTTCGATATTAAATGACACACAAGCACAAAGCAAACAACACACAGATCATACCAGTGTTGTAGTATTCGAGTGCGGATACGCTGCTTGTGACTTGACTCAGGTAACTTTCACACCAGAGCTGTTTGGTCCGCTTTAAACAGACCAGAGTTTGTTTCCTCGGATAGTCCGCTTCGTTTGGGCAGGTGTGAAAGCTCATCCGGACCAAACAAGCGAACTCTGGTCCGCCTGAAAACGTGGGTCTCAGTTCGCTTGCAAGTGAACCCTGGTTCGGTTCGTATGCAGTGTGAAAGCTCACTGGACCAAACACAGGACCAAATGTACGTAATGACGCTATATTCAGTGCATACGCAGTGCATCTTTGGTAGAGGAAGCACGGCACCCCTTGTTGCTATGGCAACAAGTGACCGCTGACATTAGCAGTTGCTTGCTAGCTTAGCTCACTTGTCTGAACAACAATAACCCATAAATTCACAATTTGGCATATTTAAACAAAATCAAATCACAACTACCAACAGTCACAGTCCTTAAACTCTGAGCTCATATGTCGTCACACATTTGATCGTCAAAGTTAGAAAAATAACAGGATAAATCCCTGACAAGCTACGATAGCATTATATGAACAGTTGCATTCACGAACGTTGTAGCGTTCCGTAAAATAATGTGACGAAGCACGATACAAGACGGCTAGTCCACCCCTGTTTGTAATCCGTGAGGTTACATACCCCTCCTACTTTGTCCAATCGACAAGCGCCCCTTTCAACCACGTGATGCTGCTTGTAGTTGGTGACTCGACTACGACACTGGGTCATACAGACACAAAGTTTTCGTACTGAAACTCTAAGAGGGTGTTTCGAGGATTTACCAGGAGAAGTGTCGCTCCAAAAGCCAAACAGAATACCATGGGGCCAGCCAGGTCTGTCTCATTCATGATGCTGCCGTCTGCCACCTTCATCGGATGAAGCACGGTCAGAGTCTTCTGCCAGATGTGGTCGAAGTTGATCCCTAACTCTGGGATGCAGAAAACAAACATCAAGCCTGTTGGTTTGATATCAGAGATGCTCTTCAAAGATACTCTATTCACGAGTATCCATGATAAAAAAATTGACCATTCACTAAATTTCTTCACGACATATTTTCCTCTCAGTCAAGCATATGTGGTAATCATTAAAAGCATATATTGTATGTGCCTACATAAGGCTGGAGAAGAAGTACCCCTTCAAATGCTGATAACCTTTGGTTTTGCCTTCCACTGGGTGGGGGTACAGTTCCTATCTTAGAGCCCCAGATACTCGTTTTCACTTTAAGACCATAGGACTCCAACTTAGAGGCTCTTATCTTGGAACTTAATATGCAACGAGGTATTTAGATACAATTCAGAGGAAGGGAAAAAAGCCGATAAACCAACTTAGCCCCCAAACATCATCTCACAGATAAGGCTTAACCTGCTTCCATGCACTCATAAGTCTCATTTGAAGCTTCTGTTTCGACTGTTTACATTTTCTGGGATGAAACCACACTTACAGTTTTGTAGTTGAGAATAAGAGTGTGGATTTCTGAGAACTTGGTTATGGTGCAGCATGAGCAACGTCAAAACTGACGTCAAAACTTGCGATGTATTAGTGATACTTTCTCAGTGGTTTGTGTGGGTTTGAAAAATACAACTCATGCAGTAAATTCAGGTCTGCAAATTTTGCTGTTTGCTGTTCGAAGGCCAGCCTTAAATCTGTGAGGTTTTATTTAATCTCTTGCAAACTCTCTTGTATTCATGAATCTCTCTGATTTTGCTCGGGAAGCAGAAGGCAAATAAAAATATAATTCACACCATGAGAGGATATACGGTGGGTGGATTTCAACAGAAACACTACAGGTCCATATTTATTAGAATGTAAAGGTGTTAGATGGTCCTAAAAAGATCACTTTCCTGTCTGATTCTGCTTCAGTAAACAATGTGCGATCCTCTTTTGTGGAAAAAAGGAAAAACTTGTTTATGCCGTGTGTTTTGATGAATATGCTGCAATGGCCAATACCTCTCAAGTCCTGAAAATTAAAACTGTGAAGAGGCAGACCCTTAACAAAAGATAGAAAATGACCCTCCAGACTGTGGTTGACCTACCTTCTAACAGAGGCGGCTCATCGTCAAAGCTGCTACTGTACATAGATTGTGAAGGGGATGGGGTGTAGGTCTGTGTGGGCTGGAAGATTTGTCCTGTGTATGGCTGTTGGGGTTGCATCATCCCGGGGGGTGAGTATCCCATGGGCTGGGAGTAGTCATACTGACCGTATGGCCTGGGAAAAGATTGAACAGCTGAGTCAAAAGTTAAAAACAGACAGTTACTGGTTTGCTCAAACAGACTTTTTTTTAAATAAGTGTTTCCCCTTCAGCTATCATAACAACATGGTAATCTTCTTGGCTTACAAATACACTCTGAGTGAGGACACAAACTAAAAGCAAGGCTGTTTTTAATCTGAGAATCAGTCATGGAGGGTTTCGAGTCATTTACTCACTTGTTGTAAGGGTTTTCAGTGTTGCTGTAGCCATAGCCGCTCTGGTTTTGGTCATCAACACTGTAGCTGGACTGGTAAAAGTCTGTGTTGAAATTGTCAAACCCTGACATTTCTCAATCTGGTTGAAACACAAAGACAAATCATCAGCCAAGGAGCTCACCTGCAAGGATTCATAATGGGTGTATGCCATTTTGACATAACAAGTGCAGTTACGCTCTATAAATGCAGTCAACTTAATTACATAGAACATTTCTTAAGGTAATGTTAGCTGTTCACATCAAGGACATTTATAAGGTGAGGCTGTTTCTTTCTCTGAGCAACACAGAAACTATTGCACACTTTTATAACTAGCAGGCTAGACTTCTGTAATGCTCTCCTTACTGGTTCTACTAAAGAAGACTATAAACCAGCTACAGCTGAGCACAAGAGCTGACAAAGACCAGAAGGAGAGGACATAGAAGTCACATTTTTAAATCTTTGGACTGGCTGCTTGTTAGTTTTCATATTGATTTTAATCTTTTACTTGTTTATAAAGGTCCCGCATGGCCTCACACTAGACTATATTTCACGTTATAATCCTGGACATCCTTTCAGATCCGTTGACTACTAATTTTTAACTGTTTTAACTGAGTAGATCTTATTTATTTGGTGATGTTGCTTTCCAAAGCCCTGTTACAGTCTGGCAGAGGATCTGAGAGAAGTATATCTCAAAATATTAAGACTTTGAAATGTAAAATGATCCATTAATTTATGATCTGCTTCAAGGAACTTAAAGTTTGTGTTACTTCTGACACACCTTGTGGACAAAGTGATACGTCTTATCTCTATTTCTGTGTGTGTGAAAGTAACCGCTCTCAGATAAAAACATCACCCTGTTGTCTTTTTAAGGCGAAGTCAATCCCTCACTGTGATCATTTACTGTTTCTCTCCAGTCTGTAGTCGATCATCTGGTCTGAACCCCTCTCCTCAAGCAATGTATATTTTTTGTAGGATGGTAGGGAAAGGTCCCGCCTCCTTCACCTCTGATTGGCTGTGAAAGGTCATTAAACACTCAAAGCCGAGCACCGGTTTACGGTTCAGCATACAGCGCCCACCAGGTCCGATCCACCGCCGCCATCAGAGGAGAAGCGCCCACGAGATTACTGATAGTCTCGCAAGACTGAACGAGACCTCAAGAGCTCTTGCGTGTTAGCAAGTCGTAGAATGAGATCCGCCGATCAGTGTGTATAGACAGCGATGAATATAAACACCAACATCCCACAACGTTGACCTCTCCTATTATCAAGTTAAGAACAGTTCAATATGTTGACTTTATTTTATATTAAAAATTAATCGGATGTTTTACTCTGTAACCGTGTACAACTTCCGCTGCTGCTCATGCTGCGCTGCACTGAATTAATGCGCCATGCTCGGACGTCCGGCAAGAGAATTTTTTTTTTGTCGGATGGTAGGGGAAGGTCCCGCCCCTCTTCGCCTCTGATTGGCTAGAAGTGCTGGGCTCCGATTGGTTATTCCTAACGGCTCTGAAATGTCATCGTCTTCCATGTTAGGGTTAGGAGATTCAGAAATGTGATAATGTTCTATTCGATGTACAGAGCTGACAGCCCGTGTTTGGCTTGAGCGTGTGATGACGTTTCCAGCTTTTCTAGCCAATCAGAGGCGAAGGAGGCAGGACTTTACCCTACCGTCCTATAAAGAAGAATATCGTGTCCAGCAAAAATAGAAGCGTTGTGTATCTGATCCGGTCGCCGAGCCGCGGAACCGTTCCGGATCCTGTGGGTTTTGCCCGTAACCCAACTGACGGTGACGTTTCACAGCCATTTGGAATAACCAATTGGAGCTCAGCACTTCTAACCAATCAGAGGCGAAGGAGGGCGGGATCTGCTCCCCTCACTGTACTTTAAGGTATCATAAATTTACAACACAGAAAATATTATTTTGTCAAATGCTTTAAAAGATCATAAAGACGCTTAAAGATTTAAACTGTTTTTATCTCTGAAAATCTCTTGAAGATCCACGAAAGTCTCAACTTTAGCTCAAAATCAGGCTAAACTTTATTTATACTGTCGATGTTTCACTCACTACAATAACACTACCTCCTCTAAAAATCCAAACTGTTTGTCACTAAATATTATACAAACATTAGCTACGGTTTGTAGATGAAAAATCTGCTAAATGAGAAGAAAATGAAAACAACTGAGAGCTAAAGGAGCTAGCATGGCTAAGAAAAACAACATCAAACTGAACGTTGCTAGAGAAACGTTAGTGTATTATTAAAAACAACTTTTATATTTGTCGGCAAGCACACTAATCTTAGGCAATAAATGCATTAGTTTAAAGAGGTAAAGAGTGTTAAACAAGCAGCTGCAGCTGTTTGGGGAGGCTAAACTCCCGTTAACTCTGCAGGGAGCTGAGAGGCTAATGCTAATGCTAACGCTATAGGTAGAGACCTGTCTGCCTAACCACAATACCAGAGATATCTTCTGTATCCCGTTAAACTTTCCTTGAGATCCTTGTTATTAAATTGTAAAGGTTTCACAAATGTTCACACTCACCCGTGATGCCTGACAAATCCTCCCTCTGTCCTGCCAACTCGGTTGCTGCTGCGGCTGCTACGTGTCAGGAGAAAGGTAAATCTTCCGGGATGATACGTAGCCGACGGGAAGCCGCGAGGAGGAAAAAACGCGATTTAGAAAACGACTGGCGCACTCTACAGATGACGGGCGGTATGACATCAACTCAACTTTTTTAAATGATTATTTTGTAATATAGAACCTTTCATGTATAAAAGTACCCACCTTAAAGTTCTACATAAGTTCTATGATAATGAAAGATTGAAATAAAACCAAGAAAAGGTTATCAGATATATTAAATAGGGGAGAGTGGGGTAAGTTGAGCCACCTCCTGTTGCTTGGAAATGGTTAAAGAAATTGATCATGTGATTAAATATTTAGACGATGGGCATCAATTCATGGAGTCTGTGAAGGTTAGAAGAACATGGGTGAAGGGGTTAGACATTTATTTCCATTTTTCACTCTTGAAAGTGAATTTAGTCTGTCATAAGTTTTATTGGAATTGTGTTCAAACCAAAAAGGATCATTCTAAATTTGTTTAATACATCAATTGTGGTATCTACATATGTTATGTTTACACTCATTCTGTTGGTTTGCAGGGATGAACAACATCTTGAAATATATGCAGATACACTAGTTAGAGACAAAACTATGATTGCCTTGATGTAGTGATCCAAAATATGAAAAATGGCTCATCTTATCCCACTCTCCCCTACTCAACAATAACATAAAGGTCCTATGGAACCTAAAATGAAAGTAGATCTGTGATATATGGAGCAGCAAGGCCCTGTAGAACTCAAAAAACAAGTAATGGAATATCAAATTAACTCTAAAAGACACACGGTTTTACAATAGGTGTTATGCAATCTGTTTTCTTTTGATATGCTCAGTGTGCAGTTGAGTACACAACATAGTTTATGTCCAATGTGCATTCTTAAAGGTTGTTTATAATACATTAAATTTGTTAGGGTGCCTTTCAAGGCAATCAAGGTCGCCTTACAGTATACACAGAATACAGAACATTACAAAATAAAATATTTAAATTGAAATGAGATTAAAGTACATTAAAACCAAATACAATAGAATAAATTAAAACATCATATAAAACATTACAATACATTAAAATAAAGGAGGGGTTTGAGTCCCACACACATTTTTCTTTGGAGAAAATGAGGAGACCTGTTTTTCTACAGCCTACATTTTATCATTTGCTCCACCAGAATTATCACAACAGATGCAGTTAAGATGTCAAAGCAAAAGTGAAATCTTATCTGAGTAAAAACATTGAATTCATTAAGATACCGGTAACGTCACGGTTTTTCTACCCACAACAGGTTGGAAGAAAACCCCACTAAGGTCTGACTCTTCCATAAAATCGGGGTCCGAAGGTAGCGTTGAGGACAGATGGTAAAAGATGATTCAACAGGACGAATGCACGGCTCCCGGCAAGAACAAAGTCTCTTTCATTAAGTGATGGAGCAGCAGATCAATCACTTTGCCCATGCAGCAGAACTCCACTGTAACCAAATACTGCAGGAACCGTAGCCTTTAATGATGACAGATAAGTAGAATAATCAGCTGGTGACCTCTGCTGGGAGGAAATAGAGACATGAGGAAATGAAAGTCAGAGAGCATCACAGGTAGGGGATTGCCCTGTAGCTCATACATGGAAAACAACAAATGAGAAACAATACATAAATAATTTGAATATTTATACTTCTCTTTAATCTTAATATTATAAAAGATGATGACAAAACAAGCCAACGGGAACAACAAAAGAGAAATAAATCCTCTTATTAAAGTCTGTGACAATCTTCTGTTGGCTGAGGAAGCTGGTTACTGCTCCATTTTGTTCCTCAGACTTTAGCGCTGTGTTGGATCATAAGAAGTGGGATGGTATCACTGGTGTGGCCTTAGATTGGTTTGAATCATATCTGCACAACAGATATTTCGAGGTGTGAATGGGGAACTCAGTGTCATCAATAGGAATTTATTCCATGGGGTCCCCCAGGGTGCAGTTCTTGGTCCAACACTATTCTCTTTTTACATGAAACATTACTGAACATAACGTCCGTTTTCTGTAAAGAAAATCAATAACGCTTCTCCTCTGTCCCACTTTGATTCTGACAACCCACTGTACATCTGTCTCAGTCAGAAATCAAACCACTACCTACAGAGGGTTCAAAATGCAGCAGCTTCTCCAAAAAATGTCCTCGCATCATCCCAATTTTAACATTAAATTCAGGATTGGGTTTCTTTCAGTCTCGATTTAAAGTACAACACAAGCTGGCCTCTCCCTATATCTCTTAGCTTTTTTCACTACATGAATAAGTCTGAGATCCTTTGGTAGTGCTTTGCTCGCCATTTCAAGGTCCAGACTTAGAAAAAACATAGGTGACAGCCTTTGCACTACAAAACTAAAGTTATTATTACTGTTATATCATTAATTTTTTTTACACAGTCTATGGTGGAAACTTTGTCATGATTCAGGTGTTATGTCTTTTTCAGAGAAGCTCTGGTTGAGCTATGGGCCTTGG